AACACGTAGACACTTACACTTTCTCGACGACGTACATATCTCTATATTTCGATATTTCAATTTTTATATTTATATATATATAATAATAAATATTTTATATTGTATATATATATTGAATAATATTTTTAATTTATATAAAAGTTAAATCGCGCGCGCGTCATATGTGATACAGCATGCAACACTGGTCTGCTGGTTAGATATAGATAGATAGAGTGAGATGATAGATAGAGTGAGATAACACATAAAGTCAAAGGCCCTCTATTATCGGAAAAACGAGATGGACATTTTCTCTGGTCGACGACGTTAATAATGATGATGACGACGACGACGTTTCTTAATAAAAATAAAACGTGAAAATTCACAGATCCCGACTTTACGTCGCGATATCTCCGCTCGTAGGGCACGTAGAAAAAAAATGAAAGCACTTTTATTATACAATTTTAGTATTTCCTGTCGATTGAGCGTATGTAGAACTTGATCGGTCCAGCCATTACTGAGATCTGATCATCTCGACCCCGAAAAATTCTCAGTTTCGCGTAAAGGAGGCACGGCAGTGTCGCGCGCTTGGCTTAGAGCCGAGACACTACCGTGTCTCCAGATATCTATATCATATCAATACTATGTTAGTGTGACAGCAGTATCAAAGATCATTTCGGAAACTTGTGAAGCCTTATGGGAAATATTATCGCTACTTGTATTAAGAGAATGTAATGAAACTGACTGGAAAGGAATTGCTCACGATTTCAATGAAAAATGGCAGTTTCCACATTGTATTGGAGCTATAGATGGAAAGCACGTTGTTATACAGGTATAAAATATAAAGTACTACTTTTTTTTTGCAATTAAAATATAAATTATGTACATATCTATCATACAATTAATAATTATTTTTGGTTATCACTTATACAGGATATCTGGTAATAATCGGATCATTTTTTGTGGACAGCGGACTAAGTTGAATAGAAAAGTTCTCCGCAAAATGATACAGAACTTGTCTATTCAGTTGAATCTACTTTACCTGCTCATGAAAAGTGACCTGGTTATACCAGGCACCTTGTATATTGTGAAATATTTAAATATATTTCAACAGGTATATATTTTAATTTATCTATACTTTTCAGAGTCTTGAACATTCTGGTTCGAAGTATTTCAATTATAAGAAAACACACAGCATTGTATTATTAGCAATTTGTAATGCTAATTATCTCTTCACTTACGTAGATATTGGAGCATTCGGCCGTCAGAGTGATGGTGGTGTTTTTAAACAGTCTCAAATGGGTCAAAAATTTGCACAAGGAAAAATGAATGTTCCTGTTCCAGATGAAATTTATGATAAAAGTTCTGAATATCCGTATGTACTAGTTGGAGATGAAGCATTCCCACTAAGCTCATATTTGATGCGTCCATATCCTGGCAGAGATAGACTAACGACTGAAAAGAAGATTTTCAATTATCGTCTATCTCGAGCAAGAAGAATGATCGAAAATACATTCGGTATACTTGTTGCACAATGGCGATTTTATAGAAAATCTACTATTGCTAAAGTCGATAATATTGAAAAAATGGTAGCAGCAACAATAGTTCTGCATAATTGGCTTCGTAAGCAGGATCTGCCAAGAAGAGAAATATTTATAACACCTGAAATGGTTGATAGGGAAACAAATGATGGATTAATTATACCAGGTACTTGGAGACTTAATGATCATTCTGCTTTACATGATATTAGTGCTTGTTCCACACATACACATACAAGAGCAGCTGGAAATATTCGGAACAAATTCAAAGACTATTTCAATGAAGAAGGAACTGTTCCATGGCAATTTGTGCAAATTTATCAATAAAAAAGTTTTAAAGATTGTTTAAAAAGGATTGTTCAAGAATCTATACGTTACTTTTATGTATTTTTGGATAAGAAAATTTAATATTAGCGATAAAAAATGTATCTTTATATTTAAAAATTAAAGTATTTATATGTGTTAAAATTAATTTTTTGTATTATTTCTTTTATAAATAAAATTTTATAAATTTATTAAGTTGTGTAAGCAATAAAGAAATTAATTCTTTCTAGAGAGATATAGGTTTGCTTAAGAAAATCAAATAATTAATAAAATATATTTTATTAAATAAACGACATCAAAATTATGAAACATTTTACATTATAAACATTTTGTATTTCCTTATAATTTGTACATCTGTTCGCATTGCTTGCATTTTTCGCATTCAGTATCCTTGCTTTCTCGTTTTTCAATGTTCAAATATTTATCTTATTTTGAATATAAAATGTTTTAGGAATCTTAAGAAACGCGAACAGACTAACATATAATCTATAGTTTATTACTTTGGTAACAAAAAGATATTGTATTTTCGAGATAAACAAAAAAAACGCAACACAACTTATTAATCTATTATATACTTTCGTAATCTATTATAACATATATTAACTCTCTCGTATAAACTTTAAAACTTAAAGAGATTTAGTAAACTGTTATTACACTGTATACAAAGGTTATGAAAGATGAGAAAGACACAATATTTTTTCTTTAACGAAAGACAATATTTCAAATATAAGATTGTTTCTTTCGTTTTGTGGCAACTTTCGAATTTGTGTACCAATTATTAAGAATAAACCATCTACTTCATCTTGCTTTTCTTGAGGTGGTAACGATGGTAATTGAATAGGTTTAGGAACATTGCTCATTGCAGTAATTGCATCTGCAATTTTGTTGATTGCAACATGTGAGTCTGTGCCATCTGATTGCGAGTTTGCTATAAATACAAGATAAGTTACATTTTTATAACAATAATTATAAAAATTTTTAAATATAAAATACTTACAAGATCGACTTTTTTTTGTAATTGGTTGACAATTTTCTGTATTTTCCTCATCATTAGGAAGATTTGAAATTGTTCTGTAATAATATAATTATAATAATGAAAATATGAAACAAAACAATTTAATACAAATTTACAGTTAAAATAGTTTTAAAAATGCAATTCAAAATATATACTTTTTTTTTAGAGATATATCGCGCAAAAAATCCATTTGATCAAAATATTTCCATTTTCTCCTTATAGAGGGACGTCCTGATCCACTAGGTAATTTTTCTTCACTTAGTTTACGATAATAACTATCCCGTAATATCTTCCACCTCTTTGCAGCTTCTTTTGGGTTCAAACGTCCTATATAACATAATACATAAAGTTATTTTAGTAAAATATAAAGGTTTAAACCTTTTGCTGAAAATAATTTGTACTTTAGTTTCGCCAAATAGTTTTACTAACGTACCAAAGTAATTATCTTCTTCAAAAAGTTTAACGTTTATACTCATATGTTATCCAATAATTGAGTTCAGCAGAAAAACAATTTTGCAACTGCTGTCAAATTTATTAATATGATTGGTCTTGCCTCAGTTCTTCATTGGATCTAAACTATATAAACTAGTCATATTAAACTGGTTCTACATTAGTTACAAGTTGATCGCAAGTTCGTTGCGACAGCCAATCTCAAGCTTGCATTTGAAATCAACGCTTCAGATTGGCTGTCACAACAAACTTGCGATTGGCTTGCAACTAATGTAGAGCCGGCATTAAAGAATTTTATAACAATTGCAAAGATGCTCTTTTTTCTGAACGCTGCTAAACACATTTTTAATACCTTGCAGAGCTTCTGAAACCGCTTTCCACGCTTCATTAGTTATTGTTCTATTACGTTGTGTTAAAGGTAAATTATAATTATATAATACTTCACGCTTTGAAACCTCTTCAATTAGCAATTCTTCTATTTCTATTAAATCATGAGAACAATTAGATGAAATATTGCTGTTCGTTTCCGATAAAGGAGAAATGTAAGATTCATTAAGCGCAACATGCTCTACATTTGTATCTTTTTCAAAATTATTTGGTGATTCATCAAGTACAATGTCTTCTATATTATTATCCATGGCACTTCGTCGAATTATAGCTCCATTATCTGTATAAAAAGTTATATTTGCAATTATACCATTTAATTTATTTATTTAAAAAAAAACCTATGGATCATTTTTGTATAGATATATTTACCACATGCAGGATAAAAGTATCTATTCTTATCAATGATGAATTGTTCAAATCCTTCCAAGCACTTATGAGTTAAAATTGATGATTCTTCTACTATTTCTTCACAAATTCCGCAAGTATTAACAAGATTTATCTAACAAAAAAAATACATGAATAGTCAACACATTACATAAGATGATATTGTTAGATTACAAAGTACATATGTACTTTTCCATTAAATGATTTAAGAAGCAAGACCAAAGTTTTTTATTTAAAGTAAACTATAATTTTCAAAATTAGATCATTTTATACTTTACCACAAATTGGAAAATTACAATAATTTCCATATATATCATTCACATTCACGATGTCGACAGATTATTAATCGATTAAATATTTTCGATTAAATAAGTAAACAGATACCAATAAATCGAATGTGAAAGCAAATCATAACCTTGTTCTGTCGACATCGTGAATGTGAATGATATATATCGCAATTATGGTAACTACAAACATGTATCCGTACCTTATCCGAAGCCATTCTTCGTTTCATTTTCCTAAATATATTTATATATATATCTATTGCAATAAATAATGAAACGACGGACATGTATGTACATACATGCACACGTGCCGCTTGCTGTTGTACTGTTCATTGCTGTTCGTTTGATTCAACTTCAACGAACTGCGGCAAAATGTATTTTGCGCCGGAAATGCGTCATCTCTCACATAAAATTTTTAACCAATAGTAACGATTTGCTGCAGCAGCGTGCTGCGCATGAAAAAGCACCTTAACCGTAAACTTTTTGGAATATATAGATATCACACTTTATCTCCATTTACATCCGTGTTCGTAAATTCTACTGAAAATTACTAGATTTTTACTAGAAAAAAAATTCCGACGTTGTCAAATTTACCAAACGCTACCGAATTTTATCGATACGTCTGTAACGATTTTGCATCGATAAATATCGTTACGGTAAAGTTACAGAATCACGCCGTATCGATATGGTCGATAGTGCAAGCGATAAAAATTGATAATTAACGATAGCGACAATCGTCGATAGGAAGTTAGAGAATCCCGCTACAGATGTGAAAAATGATGCAATCAAAAAATTACCCGTCCCAAACAAAACTATACGAATACAACGCATATATCATGCGCGTGCCAACTGCCGTGTCTTCTGATTCTCTAGTCTAGTATTTTCCGATTTAGTACTTTTCCGAGATTCCGTTTTCCGAAATCCGACTGTCATGGGACGGCACCCTTTTAGAGTATAGGTAGCAGCCTAATCGTAGGGTGTAAACTAGGTCATAGGGCGCATTCGCAGCGGACTCAACAGTTGAGTGAGCGCTCGCTGTTATTGGTGTATTCTTTTAGATCATCCAATCAGAATTTTAGATCTGGAAGAATACACCAATATAATAGCGAACGCTCACTCAACTGTTGAGTCCGCTGAATGCGCCCATAGTATCTCTAGACTGAACATTCGAGGAGTGGGGGTAGATCCTGCGTAGAAAAAAAAATTTTTTCTAAAAGTTATAAAATTATTTAGAAATTCTGAAAATTTCTGAGAAAAGCTCTTTAAGTATTGATTAAAGCGATATCGCAACTGTCGAAATGATGTCGAAAAAAATGTCAATTCGATCTTTGAACGAAAATCTTCAAAATACAAAATTATGTATTACATATTTACACCAAAACCATTAAAAAATGTATCAAACTTTCATCGCATTCTCTAAATATGGAAATTTTATTATTCGAAAATATTAAAATTTCGACCCAAGTTTCGAATCGACAACATTTTGATCGAAACGATGTCGAAACGATGTCTTTTCGAGGAACTATTTCTGATGGGGTGAAGATGGTTTCTTATTTTATTAGCGTGATAAGTTCCAATAATGAATGGTTATTCAAAGTTATATTTTAAAATTATTATATTCAAAGAACTGTTGACAAGTTTTCCTAAAGTAGGCCATAAGCATTTCCCAGAAGATTTTGTTATAGGTAGACCATCGATATTTAAATCAAACATTAATTCTGTTTCAGTAATATAAGTTAAACACACAGTTGGTCTTTTATTGTTTTTTTTCTAATCCATAATGAAAATATACTTCAGGCGGACAAAGACTATTTTAATTTCGACATTAGAAGTTTAAGGTGTTTTCAATAAAGTTCGACAATCATCGAACAAATTTGTCATTCTTGTCTTTTTCAACAGTTTTAAAAATTATTAAAATGGATGTTTTATTTGAGAATCTATCATAAACAATCTTTGAATCAGTCTCGTTGAACATACAATGTTATTTGACAATACATCTTGTATATCTCATTGCGATATAGCTAAAAATGTCCTCAATATTTAACATGTTTTCAATAAAATGTATCAGTATTATTTATTGTCACTTCTGAAAGGTTTGAGAGTTACTGTCTTTCTCAATGTAATATTCCTGCATAATGTAAGTGCACAATAATTGATGTACTTGTATGCCGTATCCTGAGTGTACCGATTGTATGCAAAGATGGGAATCGAATGTAATTTCGGATTATGTTCGCCTGATTATCGATCGACGCGATGTTTCTTGCACTGAGGCGATACAATATGAAACTCTAAACGCAATACCGAACATCCCGACTTCATTGACGGATCTGCTCTTAACAAATAACACAGACGTCTGATTAATAAAATTGCAGCATTCAAATTAATTACAATAAATAACATTTACATGAGTCAACCAATATAGAATAAGTATTCAGTCAAGCATAATATGATTCTCGTTTCTGTAGGTAAAATCGCGACTTTAATCAAGGGCCTAGTTATCTCTCGTTGATGTCAATAATTTAGCCGTTCGTGCTATGCCGTCGGCGCCTGGATGGATCCGTTATACTTTGCCTAAAAGCTGTTGTAGGCGGCCCAGTCTCGGCTGCTGAAGCATGACGAATTGATTAATTTTTAATTGCTCTCCGTTGTTGGATCTCCACTTACGCCTTTCTAAAGTATGTAAATATTCCGTACTCCAGTGTTTTCATTTCTGAAAACACTGGAGTACGGAATATTTACCTTGACGGATCCGTTCCACTCGTTGCCAATGCAGCAATCGTCCTGGATTCTTGTGATAAAATCACAATTTGATTAAGGGGACGTTATTTCAGATTATTAGAATTGCGTTTCAAGACCGACGATAGTTCGGCGTGCAATTTGGGGGGAATTTTCAGATCGAGTTGTGTTTCAAGACCGACGATTGTTCGGCGCTCAAGTTGGGGGGAGTGGGAGGGTAATACATATATTACTTTGAATAAATATATTGCGAAGAATATTACTACATCGACTCGCCATCAGAGGTCTATAGATATTCGAAAAAATTCTCGCAAGTGCTTGGATACGCGTATATCTGATGTATATATAGATTCTCGATCTAATAACTTAAACAGGCGTCTAAGGTAGGCTTCCACTACAATACCTTACTGATGAGTCCAGTAGTGGAAGCTGGGACGAAACGCCATAATTACGTGATATTCTTCGCAATATATTAGATTATAATTTAAAAAGATTTTAATGATATTATTGGCTCATTGCCGTCTTTCTCTATATTATTTGTTTTAAAAACATATTGAGTCTTATCTCAATGTACATTTTTTATTTTCTATATTTTGTTTTTAGTGTTATTCGAAATGCGAGAGATAAAGGAGTTTATTGTAAAAGAGACGAGGTTAGGGATAAGAAACAGACGAAATTTACAAGTAAAAAAGTTTATTATTTTTTTTAAAGTAAAAATATTACATAAAATTGTTATTTTACTTTTTTAAAAGAGTACACGGT